GCTGAGGTAAATTAACTTTGGCTTGGGAAGAGAAGCAAGCCGTGCATCTCATTCCAGTTGTTCTGAGATTCCTCAATTACTTCTGTTACAATTTCTGGTTGAAAACTGATTTACAGCGATTAGTTGTTAAAACCTTCGTGTCTTTCTTAGATGATTCGTTCTTGATGCAATGGCTGTCACTGGACAAGCTATAAAGCAGCACCATTCTGAGAGAAAGCATGCTGAATTTGCACTTGAGTGCACCTCTTGGTTTTCATGTTGCCTAAAGATTCCTCCTCCAAGTATCTGGCCACGCTGTTTTCAAAACTGAAGCATGGTGTGTCCAAACAGTCTGGTGAGCTTTGATGTGTGCTTTTATATTTACAGGCCAAATGCTTCCAGCCACTGAAATTGTGCAGTCAAACTTCAGATAATAATTGTCTTTACTGTTAAAAAGGACACTAGTTAAAAATCCTAACATTTCTTGGGGTTTTCAAATGAGTAAGTGGAAAGAGCACAGCTGAGAAATTGCATTTGTGCCTGAATGCCTCATCCATTTAACTTTGGATGCAATTTTAAGGTACCTAAATAGAGCATACTTGTAAATTCTGAAGGGATCTGATGTTCCCAGGTCATTCATTTCAACGAGATTTAGTTACTTGATGACTTTGGTTTATCCTAAAAGCTATGGCTGTGGTATGTAAATCTGATTTCTCATTTGTCATATGCTTTCAAGGGCCTACATCCCATTAATTTTCAGTAATACTCAGCCACATAAGTCCTTGAGTCTCCATTGAAAATTGAACTTACAGACTATTTGCAGGTAGGTTGATCTTCCTGGGCTCCCTCAGCAGTCCCGAGGCAGACGGGTTGCTCTTGTGGGATGCACAGGATGACACTGGATGCTCTGGAGTCAGCCCTTGCAGGAGCTGATTGACTTGGGAATCAGAGGAGAGCAGACTCCCAGTCTAGATAGCCCTTGTAAGCACCTCCTGTCTGCTCCTCCTGCTGCTGTGCTGACATTTTTTCCTGGTGTCTCCTGGTATGACACAGCAGGTTGCTGCCATACATCTGCAACACAGTGTTAAAAACCTTTTCCTTTCCATCATTAAAAGGGCAAAGATTGAAATTTCCAGCATGAGCCGTCAGCTGGACCATGATATTACTGGGAGATCTGCTGCCTGTGGAGGCTTAATTTTAGGCTCTGCCCCAGGTGATGCTGAAGAGCAGAGTTCAGCCACCAGCGCTGAATGAATGGCTCTGAACAACTGACTTTCCAGAGGGGCTGCAGAACGGCACCTTGCTTTGAAACACTGGTGGGCCCTGGAGAGTTTGGTTTGCTGGGCCTCTGCCTTCTGCCCTGCTAGGGTAGTGCTGTTCAGTTAACTCTCCATGGTAAGCAGAGTGTTTACTGGCTTCTGTCTGTCTCAGCTTTGACACTGTGACAAAAGGTTAGAAATCATGAATGCATCCTTTTATTTCTGCTCCACAGTGCCTCTATTTCTTTCTGTGTAAACCCTTCACTTGCCTCTTGCCCAGCCTTTAGAAATGATGATCAAATGCGAACTTTCAGGGTTTATTTATAGCATAGCCTTTATGTGAAGGGAGAAAAGAAATGATTAAAAAGCAGTTTTACAAAATATTTTGTTTTAAGAGAGAATTCATTATGTTTAAATCGCTGTATTCATTGTGCTGTCTAGACTGCCAAACAAAGAAGATAGAGCGTCATTCAAATCAAGATTGTGAAATACTTGGTGACTGGAATTATGGATTTGGATGTCAAGCCTCAAACTATTTCTGAACAGCAGCATTATCGCTTTGCTATATTTAAGGCTTTGTTGGAGACAGAGCAGTGCACAAGGTTGATCTGATTGAGTAATGCGATTCTAATGATCCTTTGTTTCCAGTTTCATTATAAATTCATATTTTCAGTGTTCTGTTCCTCTTTGTCCCCAGAAAATTGTTGAAAAGAGTCTCCTCTGAGAGCAAAGTATTTGTTCAAACCAACAAAGAACAAATTGACCAGATTAAGAGATGAATTCATGTATGATAGTTTGAGCAACCTAGAACAAGTTGTTGAAAATTGCTGGCTGCGTGTTTTTTTTTAACATAGCATTTGGCATTGCTATGGTGGTTGCTGTGAGAGCCCAGTGCTGTCAATTCCCCAAGACTTGTAGATATTTAGTAGATTTAAAAGTACAAAATATGAAGCTGACTGCAGAATCACAGAATTACAGGAGTTGGAAGGGACCTCTAGAGATCAAATCCAACTCCCCTTCGCAAGCAGGTTCCCTATAGCAGGTAGCACAGGTCAGCCTGTGTCCACATGGGTCTTGAATATTTCCAGAGAAGGAGATTCCATCACCTCTCTGGGCATCTTGTTCCAGTGCTCCATCACTCTAATGGTAAGAATTCTTCCTTGTGTTAGTATGGAGCCTCAGTCAGGTGACGTGGCACAGGCAGGGAGTTAGAGGATGAGCCGCGGCACCCGCATTGGCTGTGTCTGCTTGTGTCAGCACTGATGTCTTCTCTCTTGAACCAACCTGAGAAGACCTTCTGTCAGATGAGGAATAGTGTAAAAATAAAACTGGGCTTACTGTCTGTTTGTCTCACAAGGTTGGCTTATCTCCCAAAGAAGTGATTAGTGCATTTTTCAATGCTGAAAGCTGTAAGAGGCCCAGAGTAAAACACAACATTAGTGGAGAGTATTTATGGCAGAGGTAGAACCTTCCTGGGGAGCAGAACTGTCTGGTTTCTCCTAATGTTCCCCAGTGGGAGAATTGTGCACAGAGGGGGTGAGCAGCAAAGGCTCTCCCTTTCATTTTTCTTGCAGTTGAGAGAAAAGTTGATTTTTCTGAGACGTTTACAGCCTCTCAGGTGTCCCTTTTTTTCTTTCACTGGTGTGAACAGTAGCGCCAGGGCAATTCAACAGGAGTTGTAAAGCAGGGAATTGAAAGCAATGTGACTCTTCCCATTAGTGAGAAAGCTTTGAGGGGCTTTTCTAAGCAGTGCGCCCCTTTTCCTTATGTTTCTTGTGTTTTTCTTTTAAGTGAGGAAACTGTCTGAAAAAGCATTGTTGGTTATACAAGAGGAAATTGTCTTTTGCTTCTTTCTTTTTTTTTTTTTTTTTCCTGTGCTCATTCATTTTGTGGGAGCCTTTAAGTCCAGCTGGCCATGTAAAGGAGTTGTAAGAGATGGACTCTTGTGCTTGAGTTAGTATCATCTGTTAAAAAACAGAGAATAAGCACTCATTTCTCTTACTGGGAAAGATACCAGGCTGTCTGTGTCAGCATTTTAATCTGGCTGATGAGCAGAATCACTGTGCCAGCAGATTCATGTGTCCCAGAGAAGAGAACACGCTATCTCACTGGAAGTGTTACTTCAAGTGTGTTTCTTAGGGAGTTGAAATACAACCAACTTCTGCATGCACGAAAGAGTACAAGCATATCAGTGCACCAAAACACTCCTCTGCTGTTTTATCAGAGTAAAATGCTGACCACCATCACTGGCAGTGTGTCTTGCTTTGGTAGACCTGCGACTTCAACAGTATTTAATCTCCTGAAGTTGACAAACACAGAAAATATGTGTTTCACATTTTGATAGGCAGTATGAAAGGATCTGTTGATGCTGAAGGACAAAGCAAACACACCCAGAACACAGCAGTAATGGCACATAGGGACCGCCTGCAGCTCTGGCACACGTGTGGCATCCCAGGCACTGCGTGCCTTGCTGGCCAAACACCGCTGCCCATGGAGGCAGGGTAGCTGCTGGCCTCACAGGCAGGCCATGTGCATCCTGGCAGTTAGTTCATGATGGCGTTTCTTTAACGCACTGGAAATCAGCAACCAGAAGATGTAAGGTCTGCTGCTCACTTGCTTATCTTCAGAACCTTCCTGCTTGCTGTGAGTTGGTGACACTTTACGTTGCGCATCCACATCGTAAAGCCGTGTGAGTTCCTCAGCTGTAAAATGCTGGATTAGTGGAAAGCAGAGATTTTACTACAGTAAACAGGTTATAAAATCATCCAACCCTTTTAAAAATCTGGCAGTAACCAGAGGAGGAGGAGGTGGCTTCCAGCAGAAGCAGCTTGGCACAAGCAGCTGTTGTCCAGAAGTCACTGAGAATTTCTGTGTCGTGCTTTAGGCATTAAAAGTACATTAAAATGGACTTAAGGTCCTGCTAGAAACTATGAGGTCTGATAGAGATTTCGTCACTCACTGTTTCTTGAATCCTGATATTTTATGTTTAATGCCTTTCCCTCTGAAAACGTAAGCTCTAATGCTCCTTGTGGAAGAAATTCCAATTAAAATAGCCTTAGGCTGCTGCCTCCTCTCCTGTTCGAGAGCTTGAGCTTGGCTCAGTGCTCACTTTGGTGGTCAGTCTCACGCCAGTGGGACTGCTCAGGAAAATTGATAGAAAATCAGGATCTCAGAGATTGGGAAAGGAACCAAACAACTTGGTCCTCTCCCACCTGCACACGGCTGTCCCAGAGACTTCTTCCAAAGGGATCCATCCCCTCCTCTGTCTTTATTTTGGCCAAAAGCGGATTAGGTTCAAAATCTGTTTCTGACACTTTTATCTTGGAATGCGAGGGCAGGACTTTGCAAGATTTATTGAGCTTCTGAAGCACTCTCAAGTCCTTCCTTGCTGCAGGGAATTGATATTTTAGAAATATGATTAAGAGATCTCATGTAATGTATCGTTTTATTTGAGAAATTTCCCCTCCAGGGATGCAGTGTTTAACATTTCCTTTGGTTAGTGTAAATAATACAAGATAAGTCTGTTCTGTCTCAGACTCTCAGTAAGAAGGAGGAACAGATTTTGGTTTACTGAGAGGTCTGCAGTACTTTGTTCTCATGACTACTATATTATGGGATTGAACATATTTTAAGCCATCTGGCCTGTTCAGTCGAAACAAAATACATCAGTAATGTTCCGATTGGTTTTGAAACATCTTGTTCTTGTCAAAAAGTATTTTAAACCAAAACAGGCTTTTCCAGCTTGTGTTTGTCTTTTACTAGGAGGCCATGGCAAAAATGGGAAAAATCGGGCGAGTCGTGCGACCGAACCATGAGCACAAAAGGTAATGCTGATGTTTGTGTGTTCACCTACGACAATCTACCTGAAACTGAGTTGCGCTCTGTCTTTCTGGCCCTGCTTGAATGCGTCAGCATTTATGACCGCCGGTTTTAAAGATCACATGGGCACCCAAACTCTTCAGCGCGGTGAAGGTGGTGATCTGCTCCCAGGAAGCCCCTTACCCTATAGATATCTGCCCAGGCCCGCAGCTTGCCACTCGCGGGTGCCGCTCGCAGCGCGAGAGATGAGCTGAGCTGCTGGGGAGGTGCCTGCAGGCTGGGACGGTGCGAGCTGCGCTTCAGCGAGCGCCTGCCCGGCCGAGTCCCGCGGCGCTGGCAGCTCGGCACCCGGCCTCGGAACGGCGCTGGGCGGAGGGGCGCGGGCTCCCCCTGGTGGCCCGGCTGGAGCTGGGAGCGTCTGTGGGGCTCCGAGAGAACTGAACATCAGAGGCGGCTGCGGGGAAACCAAATGTGCGGCTCTAACTTGGAGTCACTCGTTGGGTGGAGAACGCTCTGGCAGTATGCAGGACTCATCCGAGTCAAGCTTGTTGTTAGAGTCAGAGCTACTTTGATGCTAAGTATGCATATTACAAGGGATTTAAATCTTAAATTCTCAAGCTTTGTTGAAATTTACTTGTTTATACAGATTCTATGACAAGAAATATGAAGTATTTTTGAAACTTGTGGAACATCAGAGAGAGTATCGCTCCATCATGAAAAGCTCCTAATCCAGTGGCATCCTCTGGGAACGGCAGGGATAAATTGCCTACGATGAGGGTAAATTCATCTTACTGCACCATGCATTGTAAAAATACAATTTTATCATTTGAAATGTCCATTTTTGATGTTAAGGAGCAATAAAATGCACTCTATTCGCTATGAAGTACGGGGTGTTTTCTACCTGTCACCATGCACACCAGGCACAGTGGGGCTGTGCAGAATCAGAGCCAGCTGTGGGTAGCGCGGTGCTGCTGCTTGCAGGCGGCCTCGCTGAGCAGCACGAGGAGCAGTGCCACTGGCTCAGGTGGATCTGAGCCCCTGTGCTGTGCTTTGCACAGGTATTGCACACGTGGTCCTTGTAGTGCCTGCTGCAGCTACAGCTGAGACATCATTTCCATTGGAGTGTTCTGTTTCATATTTTTTTTACTCTGATTATAGTATATCTTTGGTGGCTCATACTTGGACATTGTTTTTGCAGCTGTGCAGTCTTTCCTTCTGCTTTCTTGTTTCCTGCTCTTTTTTCTGTCTCAATTCTTGCAGTATAGTGGTTTTGCTATTGATAATTTGAGCCATTTTGTCTCTTGCAAGTAACCTGCTCTCAGTGCATGTGAATCTCTGTGCAGAAGTGAGCCAGCCCGCTGTTGATACTGAAGGATGAGGCTGTGCAGAGTTGCTGCAAACATGTTCATAATGCAGGAGCATTCCTTCCACCCTGCCAGCTGCATCTCAGCCCTCAGTCCTGCAACAGTCCAGTTCTCCATGCCTGTTCTTCCCACGTTGCTACACACAGGCTCAGCTCAAAACCTGTGTATCTGCACACTCACAGGCACAGAGCTGTGCCCAGTGACAGCAGGTGCAGAGAATGCAGAGGGAGAGAGAGATTTTCCTTCTTTAGGCTCGCCTTGTCTGTGCCTGGACATCCTCCTGGCTGCCTGCTGGCCAACAAGAGGCTTTCACTTTGTTTCAGGTGATTTTAAATACTGTGCTGGACAGTTATTCCTACGGGAAGCTGTAGGGCTCCCAACATCACCTCATGGCATGGCTGGCCATGGAAGTAGAGGGGCTGGATGCTCTGTTTGTACACTGCAGAAACATTTCACCTCGGAGAATGCTGTTTTGATCTTGCAAGATCCAAACACTGCCAAAACCTTCAGTGAGATTCTCCGCAGTTCTTTCTCTGCCCTTTGTCTTTTACTTCTTAGTAAAAGATGCTGTTCTGTTTGGGGGCTGTAACTCTGTCACAGGTCACTAATGAGAGCCCTTCTTTTCTCCAGACTGCAGTTTGTAGCCCTCATGGCGAGCCTTTATTATGCTACAGAAACAACTTACGAGCCCACAGAGTGAACATTCATAAAAATGGACTCCATCCTTATACATTTCAACTGATAGCAAAGCCACTCTTTTCTATTGGCATAGGCTTTTATTCCCAGTTAAGTGCAAACAGAAGTTAGACAATAACAAAACTACACTTAGAGAACTTGGAAAATACTGGTTTCTGAGGTTTACATGTTTGTAGTCAGCACGCAAAAACATCTGGGAATTTTTTTTAAAGAAACAATGCACTTCCTGCCTTATACTTCATGGAAAAGCAATTGTTGCCATTTCCAAAGTACCCATTGTTAAGAGAGACAGCTTTACAAGTTCAGGGACATAATTAAAGACAATGAAAGTTGATGGGAATAAAATGAAAAAAAAACCATCGTTACAAGAAGAGTCTAAGAAGCAAGAGAGTAACTGTGACATACTGCTATATCATAGCATACAGTAAGGGTACAATAAAATATGTCAATTGAAAATGTGTAGAAAAAAAACACACAGTTGGAGACCAGTGTATTGTGAATAATAAATATTCATATATTTTAATATATCAATTTTCATATACAACTCATATGTAAAAATGAAGTTCACTGACTCCAAATACATAACAAATGTACAGATTGTACAGTGACAGATGCTTAGGCTTGTCTGGCACACTACCAGCATTTTTAACTTGTCACACTCAGCACACACAGCAACTTCAGCAGATTTTCCATAAACTTCTTTATCATCAGAAATGTAGCCTTTATCTCTCCCTAAAGTAGTACCAAGACTTGCAAGGAAAACACAAGGAGTGTATGGAGTCCACAGAGGAAACAACCATTCATACTGACTTTGTTAAAGCTTAAGAGGACAGAGTTCACCAAAGCTGTAACTTTGTGTAGGTTCAGACAAAAGGCTTACACAGAGATTTGCCCACACTTCTTGCATGATCCTTATATGCCATTCTCCCCTTGTAATACTTCCATTTACAGTTGCATTTTTGCTCCACGCCAGTATTACGATCAGGTTCATATTGTCCAATTTTAGAATCAGGACTGTACTCATAGCAGAGCTGTAAAAATCTGTATTCCATTGGATATGCAATCAGCTGTGACAGCAAAAAGTACCAACACAAGATTTTGCAGAGGTATTATCTAATGTTACTTGTGTTACTTGAGACCTAGCAAACAGCAGTTTGCTAAATTCTCAAATTAAATTGTATTCAAACTGAACCAAGACATGAAATGTCAAAGCTTAAAAGTTCTAAAAATCTCAACTGCCAGCTGCCTGGCATTGTAATTCTAGGTCCTGTTGACAGGCTTAGGCATTTTCAATTCAGGCACTGCGTATGAGGATAAGTTGGAGACACATGAAGCATGAAAGAGTCTTGTAAATACACAATGGCACGGCCATCTAAGCAATTGCACATCGAATCACTTGGCCATGCCAAATATCACTTGAGCCCTGCTTCAGTCTTTGCAGCAGAATGACAAATCCGTCACACGCTGCCCCAAATGGAGGAGAAGCCTGTCACTGTTTGATTGAGTTTGACTGAGAAATCAAAGTTTGAGTCCCTCAGGATTCTGACAGCATCCTCTGAGCTGCAGACCTTGCCATATTTACCCCGTTTGTTGCAATTTGCTGACAAATGTTTATCACACAAATGAGAAGAAGGGAAACAACCACCATGTCATCAGCTGTTCCGAGTGTTCTACAGAGAGGCCCAGGCATCGTGTCAAAAGGCGACGATAAGCATATGATTGTTCCAAAGGAGCAAACAACAACTCTTAGGAAAAAAATGCACATGAGTCCACCCCAGGTGAAGATTCCTCGCAAGGCAAGAGTCAGGAACAACGGCATGTCATAGAGGTAATCTGCAAACTAAACATGCAGGTGAGTTAAGCTCTGCTCCATTCTAATCCATGCAGTTCTTTTGGTTGCATGAGTCTTTAAGCACTTCTAGATTCAAATCTCTTGAATGCAAAGCCTTTCTGTGCTGTCCCAGTTCACCAAGGCAGGTCAGTTATTTTGCAGAATCTACAGGCACATTCCTAAGGCAATCCTCACTTCCCCGGCACTTTGCACAGTGCATTATGCTTGACACTTTGGGAAACTGGTCCTTAATGGCTATCTTGAGTATACGTGCTCTCTTTAAAGTCTGGCATCAAGTGTGTGCATGAAAAAGAGTACATGAGAAAGAGGCCTCAAGTCTCACTTTAGTGTGGATGGGAAACGTAGGACTGAGTCATTATAATAATTATTCCTGCTCGTTAATACTAATTTGTTGGGTTGGAAAATAACATTCTTAAGCACAGTGCTTAGTTTAGCCCACAAATTAAAACAGATTCCACAGTCCTGTTTGGGCCCCCCACTGGGATTTGACAGGATAGGAAGATTTGCTTTGGTGATATTCTGCATGCTGTCAAGAATGGGTCTCACATGTGCCTCCAGCCCTCATCTTTCACATCACTTCCAGTACCTGTCACGTCCCCACACCATCTGGGATTCCAGCTTTAATGAAGTACAGAGCCAGTGTAGACTGTTTGAATTTGGCAATACCTCAGTAAAAAAAAACAACAGCTGCTTTCTAAGCTGGGATCTGCTTTGGAACAAAAGACTTACATGTAATTTAAGCTCCTGGAGTCCAAATATAAGTTAAAATGTGAAAGTTTTACGCTGACTCTCTCTAATTCTGCTTCACTTCCTAAGTGTCATCTTGCACTGCCTTCTCCTCCCTGCTAGGATGATTGCAGAGTGATTTCTCTGAGCTAGAAACTCTGAGAAGCACCATTACTAGAAGATGCTGTCTCCAGCAGTGAATGTTAACACTTCCCCTGTAGTATCATCAGTGAGTGTATAAAAAGATAATTCACATACTGAGACAAACTAGCTTTCATTGTTGAGTCTCTTGCAATCCTCTGTGTGTTATGCAGTGCTAACTACATAAGTGTAGATTCAGAAATACTTACAGGTCGAGGTTGCCCTGAGAAACGCTTGTTGTACGCTCTGATGTCGTGAACAGTCTGTTTACTTGGCTTATCGTGTAGCTTTTCACAAGAGATGTTAACCAGAACCACCACCTTCATAAGGAAAGAATACAGGCGTTACCACTGTGTGTTTTAATCTTCAGTATGAAGGATAGTGTTTAGTAGCACGTCTCTTCATAGGCTCTTTATTGCACATTGACCTTTGTACAGTTCCAGCAGTTCCGCAACAGCAAGAACATCTTCCTTTTATGACCTGCATCAAACTGCCAGTACAGCAGGCAGGCTCTGGCAGCGGTCGAAGGAGATGAGGGAGTCCCATGTCCTGTACTGCTTTTTACGGAATGATATCCCAGAGATTCAATAAACTATACAAAAGTAAAATGCCAGAGGCCTGTTTAATATTTGTTGCCTGATAAGATGTGTCAAATTATAAATGTGATTGGCTGCAGAGTCATTCAGCTGAGTTTTGAAATGCAATGGAAAATTAGAGGATGAATAAAGTTGATCCTAAGAGCTCAAGCTTGTCATTTTCTGTTTATTGTAATGCAGATGTATGCAGGGAAGATGTCTTACCTTCTGTCTGCAGAGAGGGCAGATTATTGCTCCTAACCAAGGACTATGTTTCCAGTATGTAATTAGACAAGAGCCTACAGAAAAAAAAAGTTAAGATGCATGGAGTATATTTGAGGATATTTAATGTTTATAGAATGTTATCAGAATTAATAAGCATTCTTTCTACAGTTGACTGCAGAAATGAATGTAATTCTTTGCTTTCATTTTAAGATGTGGTTTTACTCTGCAAACTGTAAAAACAGAGCTGTAGATCTGTGTTGATATATACAGCAACATGGAACTTCCCCCTGACGAAGACTCTGAG